TTTTGGTCATTTTGGTCAGAAACAGAAGACCTCTTGATAATTTGGGTCATCATTTTGGTCAAAAATTGAAAACTTGTTGGTCATTTTGGTCAAAAACGAAAGCCTTGTTGGTCATTTTGGTCAAAATCTGAAGACTTGTTGGTCATTTTGGTCAGAAACTGAAGACTTGTTGGTCATTTTGGTCAAAAACTGAAGACTTTTGGTCATTTTGGTCAGAAACAGAAGACTTCTTGGTAATTTTGGTCATCATTTTGGTCAAAAATTGAAAACTTGTTGGTAATTTTGGTCAAAAACAGAAGACTTGTTGATCATTTTGGTCAGAAACTGAAGACTTTTGGTCATTTTCGTCAAAAACTGAAGACTCGTTGGTCATTTTGGTCAGAAACTGAACTTTCGTTGATCATTTCGACCCAATGGCAGCTGGAGGGTTGGTGATTTTTGAGTCAGTATATATATTTTTTGACTTCGTATTCTTTTATTACACCAAATAAAAGACTTGATTTATTTTCCTGAACACAAGCTGCCCTCTCCCCTCAGAAACGTCATAATTCTTTGTTTCTTTTTCCTCCTCTTGCTTCAGGTTCTCTTCAGGCCACTCGGGCCTTGATGATCGTCGGCATCATCGTGTCCCTCTCGGGCCTGGGCGTGGCCTGCATGGGGATGAAATGCACAACCTGTGGAGGGAGCGACAAACTGCGCAAGTCCCGCGTGGCCATGACAGGAGGCATCATCCTTCTAGTCGGAGGTGAGGAAGATTTTAAAAAATTGAGAAACTGGTGTTCAATGTTTGATAAATGTTAAAACCTCATTTTGGAAAGAGTCGAGATGTAGAATATAAATAAAACATGAATAAGATTTACAAATCTCATAAAATAAAATAAAAAAACACTAAATCATATCATTTTGTCAAAGACTTACTGAGTTTCACTAATGTACTGTGAGACAGGACAAGTTTTATCTCACTGGAAGGCAGATGAGGAGAATGAAATCTCTTTGATCTTGAGACTCTGCCTCCTCTGGACCAGAACTCATTTAAAATGGACTGAAGCGAAGACGAGGACAGTTCTGTGGTCGGACGGATCCAAATCTGAAATTATTTTTGGAAACCATTTTAAATCATTTCAAAAGCCGGCCTCTCTCTTGGTATGGGGGTGCTTTCCAGCAAAAGATAAATAAAGCAAAGAAAACAAACTGTTAGAGTCCTCCTTTGGACAAAAACGGGCCATCGTCTTCTGGGCGAGGACATGTTTGATCTCCAGTTCAAAGAACTTTCATCCCACTCATCTGCCTCTCAGCGGTCGAGTCCAGAGCTCTGAGCTGGACCCACAGAGACCGGTCTTTGTCCCGCAGTCAGCAGACAAAGGTTCTGGTCTTTCTTGGGTTCTGATGTTTTGTTGGTCCGATGATCTCTGGCTGCAGGTCTGTGTGCCATCGTGGCGTGCTCCTGGTTCGCCCACAACGTCATCAGAGCGTTCTACAACCCGTACACTCCGGTCAACACCAAGTGAGTCGGCCATTTTTTTTTCACTTTCATGAATTTCTGTTTAAATGCGACATAATCATGTAAAATCCATGTTTTTAGCCTTTAAATGCACCTTGTTTGGATTTAAAGAGACCGCATCAAAACGTGTTGATCTGAGACAAACCTCAGGAAAGGGGCGGGGCTTGTGGACTTACAATAAGGAGGAATTCAGACCAAAGCATTGCATTTTGTTTTGTTTTATTGTGTTGTTCTGTCGCCACTGAAACATTGGTCTGTGTGCATTTGTTAGCAAAATATCAGGTGTATAAAACAAGATTTTCTGTTAAATAAACCAGGAAGTGAAGGTAACTGATATAAACAGGTGATATTCTGCTAACAGGCTCACAGTGACTACCTACCCTTCATGACACGACTTCATTAACGATTAAATAAATGTTTGCAGGTTTGAGTTTGGCGCCGCCATCTTCATCGCGTGGGGCGGATCCCTCCTGGACGTTCTGGGCGGAGCCATGCTGGCGGCCTCCTGTCCGAGGAAGAAGCAGGTCTCCAAGTACCCCCCGGCTTCCCGCACGGGCCCCCCGAGCAGCACCAAGGAGTACGTCTGAGGTCCGCCCAACCGGCTGAGACGGACTTTGAACAAAACAAAAACCCAGGAGCTGAGGAGGAAGTTCTCCCACCGCCGCGGCGTCAGAGGAGCCGAACCGAAAAGACTTTGAGTTTTTTTTTTTTACTTCCTACTCAGCCTCCGGCGACTCTGGATTATTTTAGACAGATGTCTCCCGACCCGACTAAACATTCCAGCTGTTCTCAAATACGTTCTAATTGGACCCCCCTCCAGTCACAGCCTGAACTGTGGATCAACATTAGCGCCCACATGTTAGCATCTATTAGCATTCGGCGTATAATTGAAAGTAATCAATCCGACTCGTATGTTAGGGAGACCCCGAGGCCTGGAGAGAAGAGTTGTTTTATTTTACTATGACACTCCCTCCTCAGCTCAACACGTATTTATTAAGTCAGCTGTAGGTTTGTGTAGTTTTACCTTGTAGTTTCTTTTTTTATGTCCCTTCTACTTCTGAGTCCTCTGGAAAAAACATGATTTAAATAAATGTATGAAGAGAAAAAAAAGAGTTTTTAACGTGTCAAATAAATGCTAAACAATAAAAAAACAGAAAACTTATTTTGTGTTTGATGGTTGTTGAGTTTGTTTCATGTTCAGTTGTTTTTATAACCCTAAAGGAGTTATTACAGCATGTCAAACACAAGGCCCGCAGGCCAAATGTGGCCCACCACTGCATTTTATGTGGCCCTCAAAATGTACTAACATTTTTAAAATAAGCTGATTTAAACCCAGCATTGACCATAAACTACATCTCTCATAATGCATGTTGATTATTTTTTACATCTCACCACTAGATGGAGCTATGCAGGGTTCAAAAGTAGCTAGGTAATAGTAAAGTATTAGCTAAAAGTAACAAAAGGCTAACTAAATCTGTAGAAGTTTAGCTCAAATTAAAAAAATATATCAAAAGTTATTTAAAAGTAGCAAAAGTCTACGTAATTGCTGAAGTTAAATATTAGCTAAAATATCAATGGTCATTTAAATGTTAGCTAAAAGTAGCAAGGGATTAGCTAAGAGTAGCAAAACACATGCTAGAACTATCAAAAAGCTATTGAAAGACTAAAGCAGCAAAAGGTTAGCAAAAAATAGCAAGAGGCTAGCTAAAAGTACTAAAATGCTAACTAAAAATTGAAAGTAAAAGATAAGTGAAATGTACCAATGGGTTAGCTAAAAAGTATAATGCCAGCTATAACAAGCAAAGCTAGCTAAAATTAGCAGAATGTCAGTTATAAGTTATAGGCAACAAAGGCTAGCTATAAGCAGCAAAAAAGAAGTACAGTATGTTTGCAAAAGGTATGAAAAGGAGTCAGTTTATGGAAAGATCTGGAAGATGATATTAAAAGTAGTGGTGTAAGAAAATATCGATACACTGAAATATCGCGATATTTCATTTCCCGATACTGTATCGATATTCTAAAGCCCCGTATCGATTTTTTACTAAGGTTTAAAATGTCAACCTTCTTGCCAACCATTCATTTTTATGTTGTAGTTCAGCCTCTGACCAGTAGTTGGCAGCAGTGAGCCAGACATTTGGCTCCTCTACCTCTTGAGCGCCAGAGAGTAAGGGTAGCATTAGCATTGTAAGTAAACATTAGCTTTTCTCTTTTTTTCAGTAAGAGGTTTTTATTTAATAGAATTTATGGACAAAAAAAATCGCAAAATATCGCAATTTATTGCCTTGCTTACAGTGTCGCAATATATCGGGATATATCGTATCGTGACCCCTCTGTTGTGATATGTATCGTATCGCCAATTCTTGCCAATACACAGCCCTAATTAAAAGTGCCAAATCACTGTACATGTTTAAAAGAATGATAAAGTCTAGATTGTTTAAAAAATGAAACAATATAATCTGTATCCATGTGGTTCTAGAAAGATTTTATTTTTTGTTAACTGAAGATCATTATTGTTTGAATTTATACTTGAGGAAAAAAGGGGCAGATGTAAAAATATTTTTTCTTCTCTCTGCCACCTTTAGTTTCATTTGTATTTTTTTAATTGTACATAGAATTACTTTTGTTCTTTTAAGAAATTAATAAAGTAAAAAAAAAAAGACTAGCTAAAAGCAGCAAAAACGTGCCTAAAAATTAAACATATTTGAAGTGTAAAATCTCCATTTAGCTGCATTTTTTTTCAGCTACTTTTGTTACGGCCCTGTTGTACTGGGAAGTAGGAATTTCCCAGTCCAACTTGTGGGAAATTCCCACTACAACTGGGCAGCAGCCAACATAGCAAAAGGGGGATTTTACACACAAAAAAAATTAACTACCTTTAGCTAATGTGAACCCTGCATGGCTCCACCTAGTGGTGGGATGTTGTCATTTCACAGGTAAAGTAATCCAGATGCATTATGTGAGATGTAGTTTATGGTCAATATTGGCTTTAAAGCATCTTATTTTAAAAATATTTATACAGCTTGAGGGCCATATAAAATGCTGCAGTGGGCCGCATTTTACACCGCGGACCTGGAGTTTGACACGTACGTGGTTTTAATAACAAAAAAAGACAAACGTTTAAAGATTTGCACTTTATTTCCAGAGATGCATTAAGAAACGTCGGTCAACTTCATGCAAACACTGATCTGAGCAATGATTTCACAGGCGAGAGAAAAGGAAAACAGGAAGTGAACCCATCAAGACGCTCCGGAGCTGAAATCTGAGAACATTTTAAATAAATATCAACATAAATAAATTCACACACTTCTACAGGACGACGTGCAAAAATTTATCTGAGGTACGAAAATAATTTGGCATCAAGATTTTCATCCTGCGTTTTTTTAATTTTTTTATTTTCTTTAATCTTTTAAGTGCTGAGTCAGCAGTTCTGACAAACATATTAAAAGAGCAAAAACTGATTTGGTTTGAAAACAAAAAACAACAACGTAGCCCTTAAATAACAAGATGCCAGTTTCATGCGTTAAGTGCGAGAATCCACAACAAAAATGACGAGTCATGATTTCACAACAAAAATGACGAGTCATGACTTCACAACAAAAAGCCTGTTTTTTTAACAATAAATAATTTGCAGTAGTCGATCTTTAAACGCTCGGATCAGAAGACAAGAAGAAAAGTTTAATTTCCACTCGTTGACAGCCGAGTTCTGCCGAACGACAAACCAGCAGAGAACCAAGAGCCAGACCACCGGATCCGTTCATCCATTAAAGCCCTTTTTCAGAACCAGTCCAGAACTCAACAGTCTGAGATAAATAAACATTATTTACAGTCCAGGCCCCGCGCTCCAAAACGAGCCCAAGAAAAAAAAAAAACACCCAAAGAACCATCAGGACCTTCTGCAGGACCAGGAGCGCTGCTGAGGGGAACCGGACCGGACCTCCCAGGTGGTTTTTATATATTCTTATCTTGGCAGTTCTTGGTTTAAGATATGGGCGACAGAGACACAGCACACTGACCGTTGTTGTTCATGATGTCGTCCAGGTCTTCATCGTCCAGGTCCACTGAGGAGGAGGAGGAAGAAGAGGAGGAGGAGGAAGAGGAGGAGGAAGAGGGAGACACAAACATGGGATCAAAGTCTGGTTTTACAAAGAGGAGAGATCTGAACAGTTTAATGATTTATTAACAAAAACATTCAGTTTGTTGATGTAAAACTTCTGTTTCATCCTTTAACTCTGGAGGTTTTTATTAAAGGAACAGTTCAGATATTTTAATGTTTGTCAAAAAATAATCAAATAAAACCACTGAGCTACAGAAATGACTCAGCAACTAAACCTGAGCTCTAAATCTGAACAAAAGACATCATTGTAGCTACTACTATGCTACTTTTAGCTACATTTCTGCTACTAATGGCTTGTAGCTAATGTTCTGCTACTCTTAGCTTGTAGCTAATGTTCTGCTACTCTTAGCTTGTAGCTAATGTTCTGCTACTCTTAGCTTGTAGCTAATGTTCTCCTACTCTTAGCCTGTAGTTAATGTTCTGCTACTCTTAACTTGTAGTTAATGTTCTGCTACTCTTAGCCTGTAGCTAATGTTCTGCTACTCTTAGCTTGTAGCTAATGTTCTGCTACTCTTAGCCTGTAGCTAATGTTCTGCTACTCTTAGCTTGTAGTTAATGTTCTGCTACTCTTAACTTGTAGTTAATGTTCTGCTACTCTTAGCCTGTAGCTAATGTTCTGCTACTCTTAGCTTGTAGCTAATGTTCTGCTACTCTTAACTTGTAATTAATGTTCTGCTACTCTTAACTTGTAATTAATGTTCTGCTACTCTTAACTTGTAGTTAATGTTCTGCTACTCTTAACTTGTAATTAATGTTCTGCTACTCTTAACTTGTAATTAATGTTCTGCTACTCTTAACTTGTAATTAATGTTCTGCTACTC